GCTAGTCAGCATTCCCATGACAACCAGCCCCACAAAGTCTAAAACAGAAGCTCTGGGAGGGTTTTCAAGTAGCTGTGAGATGTTCCATTAGGCCCATTGTTGGCCATTAGGGCTAAAGTTAGCTGGTGGAGCTGAGCAAACAGGGGACAGATGTTTTCTCTGTCAGGCTGGTGTTCTGGAGCATTTGGTGGCGGTTCAATCCCTCCACCATCCACTCTGTAATCCCTTCATTAAGGTTTGGTTCATGGTCCCAGATTGAAAGTTCTGCTCTTCTTCTGTCCTTTTTCATTCAGTACACAACAACAGAGGAGGCGGTTGCCACCAGGACGGCTCTTCATGGAGTCAAATGGCCTGCTAGTAACCCTAAGGTGCTCAGTGTGGACTTCTGTGAGCAAGATGAGGTAATGGAGGCCTAAAAAACGTCTACTCCCCGTTACTGCTGGAGTCCTTGACTTTCTGGCCTAAATGTCTCATTCATGAAGCTCTTTGTGTTTGTTTTATGTTTTAGATGTTAATGTGTAGAAATGTTTTTGTTTTTCCACCTTAACAGCTGGACTATCATAAAGGCATCCGGAAGCCAGAGAAAGAACAGGAGCAGGCCATCCCTGCTCCTGTTCCTGCTCCTCCTCAGCCAAGGCTGCCCCCTCTGATGCCCGTACGGGACAGGGACAAGGAGCAGGACAGAGAGCGGGAGCGTGATCGGGAACGGGACAGAGGAGTCCGGGATCTGTGGGCAGAGCGACAGAGGGAGATGGAGCGGCGAGAACGGGCTCGAGGGGAGCGAGAGTGGGACCGGGACAAGGTCCGGGAATTCGCCAGACCCGGAGAGGAGGGGCGGCGATCTCGGTCCAGAGAGAGGGAGAGGAGGAGGAGGGAGAGAGCAAAGAGTAAGGAGAAGAAGACTGATAAGAAGGGTAAGGCACTTTACCTGCATTAAACGGAAACACAGAGGTAGAAAACTGAGAAGCGACGTCTGAAATGAGCCATGTCTGTTTCTTCCATCAGAGAAAGATGAACCTCCTGCTAAACTACTAGACGACCTGTTCCTGAAGACCAAAGCAGCTCCCTGTATATACTGGCTCCCCCTCACCGAGGAGCAGGTGGCGCAGATGCTCTTCTTCACTTTTCATTCTTTATTCTGTTTCTTGTGCTGGTTAACAAACTTGTTTTGTTGTCTAAACGCAGGCGAACCAGAGGATTCTAGATCGCGTGGAACGGCAGAAGGAGCGCGAACGAAGGCGCAAGGAGCTAGACGAGGAGAACAGCAAGAAGCGGGACGAGGAGAAGAAAGAGAGGCTCAAGGGGAGGGAGAAGGAGGTTGGCGCTGTCGCAGCAAGCGGCGGACCTTCCGGGAGAGGAGCCGACGCCGAGCGCAGCCGAGACAGAGAAGGGGACAAGAGGAGGGACAGCAGCCACCGATCCAGACGAGCCTCGCCGGTGTCAGGCAGCGGACGGCGCTCCCGTAGTCGCAGCAACCCCCGGGACAGGCGCCGCTGAGGGGGCCGGAAGCTGCAGGGAGCGGCGAAGAGAGGGAGGGTGCAGAGTAGCAGAGGACGCAACAGGCAGGAAGTCATGAAAGGAAAATGTCCTCACCGTCTGCTCCACCGTGCTTTCAACGGTTCAACCATGGCGCCAGTGTTGTCTTCCACACTTCTCTCATACCCCTCCTCCTTCCTTTTTAGCGTTCACATACAGGAAATAATTTCAGATATAAGGAAGTGTCCGTTTGTCTTCATCCTTCGTTTACTCTATTCCAGTCTCGACCAATTCTCTTCATCATGCTTCAGTTCTCCGCTGAGGAGAAGTAGCGGGGGGGCGTTTGGTTCTCCATGCCTCCCTCTTCATTTTAGGACGGGACTAATTTAGTTTCGTGGCCGCACGCTTCCTTCCTCCCTCAGAGCCCTGTAATAAAACCAGTCCGAAATAGCTCCCCGACCGTGACCCATGTTTTCTAGAAGCTGTTTTACTGTTCGGCATCAAGAGTCAAATATATCTATCTATGTATATACAACAAAATTTACAAATGACCCTTAGTGGAATCGAAGGTTTATTTTATTTTTTTGAATGCTGATTATTTTCTCAGCCGTGGATGGTTATGGTGTTGAAGCAAGTTGGTGATATTAATCTCTCTTCAACGATGCAACTGGTCTGATCACTGTAACCCGTACAAGGAGCACAGGGAGAGGAGGCGCTAGGCCCGGTTTGAGAAGGCAGGACAGAAGCCCAGCTCAGCAGCCTGGTCCGTCACATCTAGGTAAAGGTCAAAGGTTCATCTTCTGATACTTAATATTTGGAATTTTAATATTTTTAATTTTGTTTTTAGTTTGCTTTTTATTTTTTTTTCCTCCATCCAAGTGCTGAATGTACCAAGAATTTGTGAAATGAATAAATTGGGTTTACCACACCATTTGGATCGTTGTTCAAGGGCTTTATTGAAACGATGTCTGCTTTAGATTCTGGATTATTTTTCCCATCTAGTAGCATAATCTAATACTGGAATAATCTTTAAAGATTATTTCATTGAAATCCAAGATGACTTAGTCTCTTCTTTCTGGTTTTGAAACATTTAAATCATTTTTATGCCTAAATATGGGTAAAATGTAATAATTTTTTTTTCTAGCCACTCATTTCCTAAATGTTTTTTATATATATATATATATATTACTATATTCTTTTTATTAAACACTAAAACAGTTGCATTCTTGGCTCAAGATACGTTTTTTTTTTTTTTGAAACATTACAAAATACACCCCCCCTCCCCTACCCACAAGATCAAAAAGTAATAAAACACTCATTTATATGTTATATACACATATACATCTTAGACCAAAAAACAGAGGAAAACAACAAAATAAACAGTGGACTTGACTACAAACACAAAATACAACCACTAAATTGTAACATAAACACAGAAATAAAAATCAACAATGTATGTGCATATATGTACACTTATTCCTACCACACAAAAGAAAAGCCGTATTTATTATATGTACTTCTGTAGGTTTTGGCCATCAGATTTCGATGCTTTACTCTTAGGGATTCTCAGGAAGTGTCTTAAGCTTGACAATATTTTATTAATGGATTCCAAACACCATAAAAGCGATCACTGGACCCTCTTAATGTATATTTAATCTTTTCTAATTTGAGGTACATTAGATCAGACATCCATTCAGATAATTTTGGTGGGCAGGAACATTTTCAGTGTAAAGGAATTTGCTTCTAGCTATCAAAGTTGAAAAGGCTACTACCGGTATATCTTTGAACCTAGAGATACCCATGCTATCAAGTGGTATTGTTCCAAAAATCCAGGTATACATATTAGGCTGACCTTCTATTCCTATGATTTCAGATATCGTTTTATACACTCCAAACCAAAATGAGTTATATTAAAATCTTAAATCTGAACAGCACGTTCTCTGGTTGAGGAGCTGCTACAATAAGCCTGACTCTTATTTATAGCAGGGATACGGGTCTTTCTAGATCAGGCCCACAGCATCACTCCTCCTCCATACTCAATCAGCTGCTGGTTTTCCCCTTTATTTTCATCCTGCTTTCAGTTTCCATCCAAGCCCAGCTGGAGTGTTAGTTGTTGAAATTTCTAATAATAGTCTCATGCAACCAAAGCTTATTGAACCGTTTTCTCTCCTGAAAGCCTCCAGACCCAATGTAAATGGTTGTTATGGAGTTGGTCACCAAGACATTTCTATGCTTTTTGCCACAAAATCTCCAATCTGTGCATCAACACAGAACTTTATTTCACAATATTTTTCCCACCAAATGTTTACCATTGTTTTCAACTTGATGGACGTTGTAGCATCTCACGAATATACCATATCTCAATTACTTCTACCTTTATTTTTCCTATTTAAATATGTATGCTGTTGAGGTCTTGCTGTTAGCTATCAAACCTCGTTCAAATTTGATATTATCCAATTATGTTTTTACATGTGTTACCCAATATTTCTGTTATCACATTATTTTGCAGTTGAACTCAAATTTGAAGATGCATATAGAATTCTCATTTATCCAATTAAAATTACATTTATTTATAGAACATATTTCAAGGTACTTTACAGACAATGCAGTCAGATTGGTCCAAAGTTTGTCAAGCAAAACCAGATGACTGTGTCCAGGCTTTGACCTGCAAGACATGCTCCACCTGCAAGAGCTTAATGCAACGATTGATTGCATTTTTCGTCGACTCTTCAGCAATCCCTCACACCTAGCATGCATGCAGGGTCAGTGTGGGGGGGTAAAACTCCCTTTTCATAGGAGGAAACCTGCAGAACCAGGCTACATGTGAGCAGACTTCTGCAGAGGCTGTCTGAGGTTCAAGGACAGAGAAGCAGACATACAAAAGGTAACTCTGAAGCTCTACAGCCCAGCTAGGCACACAAACGCTCAGCCTATTCCCATGTAAGAGAATGAGAGAGCACATACAGTTAGTCAGAGAAACAGGCTAAGTGCCAACATCTATATACAAAGGTTTTAATAGCAGCAGCACAGCTGACATCTCTTGGATGGAGTCAGAACAGACCAGATGAAGCTACTATGAGAAACAGCAGAGAGATACAAAGTTATAAGGTAAATTAAAGACTGCAGAATGGAGGAATGGAGAATAGAGGTAGAAACAAAATGATCAAAAGTGGTCCCTATGTCATCCAGCAGTCTAAGCCTATAGCAGCTTTAAATAGAAAATAGCTCAGGATATCTACATTGGATGAGGTATGACAAAGGTCAAATCAAACTTTAGTTGTAGAGTTTAAATATTTCAAATAGTTTACGCATCTGCAGTAAATGAATAATCCTTTAAGGTTTTCATTTCCATATTTCGTAAAGGGGTGCCAGTACATGCAAATGATTAGATCCGGTGACCATTCACCATCTGTTAACATTTGCTTTTATTGAAATTGTGACCAGTCTCTGTAAGTACACAATCTGAGCACAAACGCAAAAAAAATAAAAAATACTTAATGTACAAGAAGTTACTGTTTCTCTTCAGCTTGCACAGATTCATGTAACACAACTTACAGTAAAGTCAAATTTAAGTGCAAAAGTTTGCTAGTCATAATGTATGTACAACATAATTCAGCAAAAAGGAAAAAAAAATCCCTTTTGTTCTTCTACAGCAAACAGTAGCAACACCGGGGTTAAAAAGCAGTAGTTTGTTCCCTTTTTTTTAAACTAGAGTACAGCAGGCAGCACGTGTGACGAACCAATCAGACATGAAATGTTACCAATGAAATGTCTCGACATCAGCAGTTTCATTTTTAAAAGATACACAAGAGACTGAGAACATGTATTGATGAATCCTTTAAAAAGAAAAACAAAAAAAGGAAAACTCCACAGCTGGAGCAGTCAGCTCAGTGTGTCGGGGGGGCGCTGTGAGTGCCACACACTCTGCTCATGTGACAGGAGTGGCAAAGGAGATGAGAGTCCAGAGGGAAGCACTGAGAGCCGGGCTTATCAGAGAGCTGCTTGCCACACTCCTGAGAGAGAGAGAGAGAGGAAGAAAAAACAAAATACTCGGATAAGAACAGGAATGCGCACAGAGGGGAAGGGAAGCCAGCTCAGTCGTTTCTCTGTTTCATAACATTCCTGGAAAGGAGAAGCCTTTTGTTGAAGGATAACTCACCTCACAGTGGTAGCACTCGAAGTGGTAGTCCTTGTTCATAGACACAACCCTGAGGATCTCCTCGCTGCCCTGGGAGACGACACGAAAGGTCACAGAGCTGCAATAATCTGGAGCACCTTCACTCACTTAGAAAGGGAGATTACACACATTCCCTGGAACCTGAATTTTAATAACCTTTTGGATTATTTTTATTATCTTTGATCTGATTTTTTTCCTTTAATTTCTCCAAAAAATTGTTGTGCACAAGAGCATAAAACCGACTTCAGTTCAATGTTAGAAACTGAAAATGAACTAGAAGTTTCATAGGCACTTGGAGGAAGAAAAATATAGTTAAGGGTTTAATAACATGATTAAATGAGCAGATTCATGTAGGAATCTACAAACGATCTGGAAGGAAAGTCATTTTAAGCAATCTAATACAAATGAAGCCTAATCAGAGTGTAACTGTCTGGCTCAACAAAGCATACTTATCTGCTGCAGTATACAACAAGATTGTTTTCTTGACAAAAAAAAAGACAATTTTACAGGAGCAGGATTATTAATTTTTTTGTAATCAGTTTCTCAGCTGAGAAAATGGTTACCGGAATTGCTTTCATAAATCAAATATCTGCCTGCTCCTTAAGCTCCACTGTTCTTTTATTTATCTACAATATCTACAATAATAATTAGCAGAAAGTCAGAAACAATTGTTAACCCCCATACAACATCATACAAGAAAAATAATTCTATATAGATATGTCATATAGAGCCATTAATTTAAAACAGGGTTTATGCAGGAATTTAATGCATTTTAATGCTCTTTTAATGCTCTGAGAAATCATTTTAATGTATATATGTATATATATAAAAACACAGCCAAATCCTTTGTAATCTTTACCATCCACACGCTGCAGCCATGTCCCGAATTTCTCGTTTTCCAGCCACTTATTTTAAAAGTTGCATTTTCTAATTCTCTATCTTTTTCTGTGCCTCGAGCTTCTGTTCCGCACTTATGGCTTTAGGATCAACCAGAAGCAGCTCCACGCAAACACGTGAAACCAGTTAAATCTGGTATATTTGAAAAAAAAAAAAATTTTATAAAGCATTTTAAATGCTAATTAAGGCCTTAATTTAAAAAATAACAATTTAATGACTTTTAATGATCCGCAGAAACCCTGTAAAAGCACACAGACAAAATATGTTGCTATGGGAAACCTAAAAGATACGATGTGGACCATTAGCTTAATGCAAAGAAGGGCTGTAGCTAACAATTATGCTAGTAATAGCAGGTCTGAATCATTCAATGAACCGTGCTAAGAACTAGTTTACCCCTAATAATAACTGCTTCCCGCTGAACTGGGAGCTTTTAAATCCTTCAGCTGAAGAGTTTACCATCTCTGCTTTTATCTTTGTTGGCTGCGTTTAAATGTAGCATCATCATCATTTCCTTCTCTTTCACATATTCCTAAACGATACTGCTAAAAACACTACTGAAAATAGGAAAATCTGCACAAAAAAAAAAGTTAAAACATAACAGATTACTCATAAGAGGCTACTCACTTCAGTCGGTAAGATGGGTTGCAAACAGGCAGCGCACTTTGGAGCAAAAGTCCTGCAAATGTAACATAAGGAGATTTATTTGCTGTAGCAAAAAATATAAACCTGCCATAGAAAAAAAAAAACAAAGACTTCATCTCTAATGCATCAAACTTGCAAAAATAAAAGTATAGAAAAACAATCAACTCTTGTGCCTCACTTGTTGTAGTCAGCGACGCAGTAGATGTTGCTGTTCTGATCCA